TGCTTCGACAGAGTGTTGCATCCACCTTCGCCACGGTATAGACTTCATCAATTTCAGTCACTCCTCCATTGGAGTTACGCTTGGCTTGCACTCAGCCATGCCGCTCCGCTCCAACAACTTTGAGGCATACGCGCTCTGACCGAGCGTGAGTTCCTCTTTCCCCTGTCTCACCTCGATGCCGAGGTAGTAGGAGAGTGCGCTGAGATCGCTCATTTGAAAACAAGCCACCATTTAGTGCCTTAAGCTATCGATGTCTTCTGCACGTGCACCGGTGATGATCAAGTCATCCACATACACGCCAACGACGAGCTCCGCCTTCCCCCGTCGCCACATGTAGAGCGCGTGCTCGGTTGCGCACCACTGGAACCCAAGCTCGCCCAGCGTGGTGTCAAGCTTGTTGTTCCACGCTCGTGGGGCCTGCCATAGCTCGATGGTGAAACCTGGAGGTTGCCTGATGAAGACTGTCTCCGCCAGCTTGCCGTTGAGGAAGGCCGATTTAACATCCAAGTGATGGACGCGCCAATCCTTTGCTGCTGCCAAAGCTAGTAGCAAATGGACAGACTCCATACGCCCTACTAGCGCAAAGACTTCCTCAAAGTCTATGCCCTCGCGCTGAACAAAGCCTCGGGCGACGAGGCGCGCCCTGTGCTTGATAATGGCGCCGAGCTCATCGCGCTTGACTTTGTACACCCACTTCAGGCTGATCGGATGGCATCCTAGAGGTGGATCAATGAGCTCCCAAGTCTCGTTTTCCTCGATCGCCTTCATCTCCTCCAGCATCGCCCATTGTCAGTTTCCATTGCGCTCGGCCAGAGCGAATGCGGGTGGTTCCTCTATATTGGCGAGCAGCAGCTCTGGGTCACTGAGCAGCCTACCTGCCAACCCTGAGGGCCCTGTGCCACTGACGATGTCATCTAGCCTGTAGAACCGCACCTCCTCACCTTCGTGGAAGGCATCCACGAACTTAGTGATGTCACTTAGAGGTGAGGCGAACTCGATCAGTGTTGATGGAGTTCCCTGTTCCGCCGAAGTGCTCGGCACAGCACCTGGAGTGCTCGGCACCCAGTTGTAGTGCTCGGCACTACTCCAAGACAGCTCGTCATAACTCCTACAGTGCTCGGCACCACTGTAGGAGTGCTCAGCCTCAGTCTTGGAGTGGTCGGCACCACTGCAAGACCTCTTGGCTCCACTATGGGAGTGCTCGGCACCCGTCCTAGAGTGGTCGCCACCATTGCAGAACCTCCCGGCACCACTCCTGGCGTGCTCGACATTCCTCCAGGAGTGCTTGGCATCCCTCTCGAAGTGCTCGACACTGCCCCAGGAGTGCTCGGCTCTATCGCCAGAGTGCTTGGCACCTCTTCCCTAGCGTCTCCACCACCGTGGATGACCAGGTGCTCGACAACGAAGGTGCTGGTGAAGCCGCCAACTTCCTCCATGCTCGGACTATTCTAGTCCCAAGCCACCTTCTCGTTGAACACGACGTCGCGTGAGACAAGTACCTTGTCTCCATGTGGGTCGTAGAGATGGTACGCCTTGGTACCCTCCGCGTAGCCTAGGAACACCATCGGTGTGCTCTTGTCCTCCAGCTTGGTGAGGATCGGCTTCGTCTTCCTGACGTGGCCGATGCAGCCGAATGTCCGGCGGAAGGACATGCTCGGCTTGTGCCCATACCAAGCTTCGAATGGTGTCTTGCCCATCAGGGCCTTGGTCAGAGCACGGTTGAGGATGAACACCACCGTAGTCACTGCCTCACCCCAGAACCTTGCCGGCATGCCTTTGGCCTACATCATGGATCGAGCCATGCCGACTACAGTCTAGTTCTGTCGCTCCACCACGCCATTCTGCTGTGGCGAGTACGGTGCGGTGTGGTGTCGCACCACACCCTAATCCACGCAGTACGCAGCGAACTCCACCGAAGTGAATTCGTCGTCGCGATCAGTCCTAAGCACGTGGAGCTTCTTGCCGCTGTCGGCCGCCGCATGCATCTTGAACTTCTTGATCGCTGCCGCCGCTTCATCCTTGCTCGTTAGGAGTTGCAGCCACATATAGTGACTGTAATCATCCACGAGCAGGAGGAAGTACCGCCGACCACCGTTTGTAGCTGGCGTAATCGGCCCATAGAGGTCGTTATGGATGAGCTCGAGAGCGTCCGTCGCGTGATACTTGGCCGCCTTTTTTGAACGGCAGCCTCCTCTGCTTCCCGGCCAGGCAGCTGTCACACAGCTCGCCTCCGTGCTTGATGTGGGGTAGCCCTCGGACCATCTTCTCTAGCTGACCAAGTGCGTCAAAGCTGAGATGTCCGAACCGGGCATGCCACAGCTATGGCTCCATGGTGTGCCTTGCCGCCAGGCACACCGGCTTCTCTACCTTTAGGTCGAGCAGGTACAACCGGTTCAGGGACCTTTTCACCTTGGCAAGAAGTCGCTGTTCCCGGTCCCTGATCCTGAGGACTCCATCCTTGATCAAAACCTCGCTACGACGCTCATCCAGTTGACCAATGCTCATGATGCTTGAACCCAGCTATAGGATATAATATACATCCGTTAGCGCGCTGTGCTCCCTGTTCTAGCACCTGAAGATGATAGTGTCGCGTCCTTGGATAGCCACCCTTGAGCCGTCACCAAACTTCACCGTACCAGTAACATCATCATCGAGCTCGGAGAAGGCTTCCTTGGAGCCCGTGATGTGGTTGCTGGCACTAGAGTCCAGGTACCACCGCTGCTCCTGCTCGCCGCCCACACGTCCAAGGTGGACTTGGGCGCGTGGCTCGTCGAGGTTAACAGCCTTCAGGGCCTTCCTAGGTCCTTTCGCCGTCATCACCTCTCCCTTCTCCTTGGTCTCGACATCGTGCAGTGCACAGAACGTCGCCATTAGGATAGTGGCCTCATCATCATCATCAGCTTGCGCCAGATGAGCCTCAGCCTTCTTCTCCTGCTTGTGATTTAGGCACTCCCGTGCCCAATGGCCCATCTTCCCGCAGCGTCGGTAGGTGTTGGGGTCGACCTACTTCTTCTTCTCCGAAGAAGCCTTGCCGAGGTGCTTGCCATCACCACCACGGCTGGAGGAGGCTACCCCAGAGTTCCTCCGAGCAGCCCACTCCTTTGTCAGCAGCTGTTTGCCGCTGTCCTTTGTTGTTGTCGCCTGCCCCAGGCGCTCGTCCACCGCCGCAGACGGCCTATCACATCCTCAATGGTGAGGGTGGACAAGTCCAGCATAGTCTCTATGGAGAGAGCGATCTGGATGTACTTTGCCGGCACAGAGTGGAGGTACTTAGAGACCGCCTCCTCTTCGTCGATGGTGATGCCATGGCTCTTTAGCTTGTTGATGAGCGTTTGCAGGCGGAGGGAGAAGTCCTCCACCGTTTCACCATCCTTGAACTTGAGGTTGGCGTACTCCTGCTTCAGAAGCTGGGTCGTCGCCTTCTTTGCGCGGTCGAAACCGACGCGCATCGCCGCAATAACCTCCCACGCCTCCTTAGCAGAGCTCTTTGCCCCCAAGGGCTCCCTGTACTTCGTCGGTACAGCATCGAGGATAGCCTCCAAAGCTGACATGTCATCTTCTTCATTGTCGGTGCCCTTGTCAACAGCATTCCAGAGCCATCGGGCTCTGAGCTTGACCTTCATGGTTACCGACCACTTTCCATAGTTGGTGCAAGTCAGCATCGGCCAACTGGTGCCGCTGACCTCCCGCACTGTGCGAATAACGACCTCCTGCCATGGCTGGGCAACCACAGCAGTACCACTGCTATCGCCCATCTCCGAACCGTCCGTCATCGCCAGCGGTTAGTCCGGCGACGGAGCTTGTACGGCTCCGATACCACTTGTTAGTAAACAGGATCACCGGCTCAGGTGAGTCGACCACTCACCAGTCTTGCCGAGCACCCGCTAGTGTTGCGGAGCACACACTAGCTATGCCGACCATGAACAAGCGTTGTCCGACTATACACTATGGCTAGAGGTAGAAGAAGAGAGGGAGAACAGAGCATACACACACAGCAGAGACACCAGCGTTGGCCGGAGCCCTGTATGGGAGATGGCAAATCTGAACTCTCTTTGTTGAGTTGTAGTGGCAAACTATATATACAACTCTATTCATCTAGTCCTAGTACAGCTGCCCTGCTGTAACAGTGACTAGATAACACAGCAGGGCTGACCCTGGCGCCTGCCCCTGCATGTGGCTACAGTCCGGCAGGTGAGCCATTCGGCGCCTGCCTCTGCAGCGGCTACAGTACCACAACAGGGAGCCTTTTCGACGTCGTCTTCTCCCGCTGTGTGTTTACACAAGGAAACAGTAGATTATCTAACAACAATTACATTGTCCGCCATTAATTAAATGAAAAGGTGAAACTGGAACAAATTCTTTCTGAATATGCTTCTAGCATTAGGTATGCCAGCACTAGTTTCAGACAATGGAGAGACTAACAACAGCATCCAGTTTGAACGAAAAGACATCATCACCAAATTTAATTTACAACTAGAAAGGTATGAATTTTCACTCTCATCGAATTGACAATGTATATATATGGGAAAAAAATCAATTGGCTATCGTAGGGAGGCCTACGCTCTGCACACCACAACGCGAGCGAGAGAGCAGGAGGAGCGAGCTGCCGGAGGCGGCTCTCCATGCCGCGTCCTCACTCCTCAATGGATTGCAGGAAATGACGATGGAGAAAGTTGCTCGTGGGGACGTCCAAACCTTCAATCAGCCTGTTGGTTTGGCTGTCGCTTGTCGTAAATGATCGTAAATTTTCAACCGGAACAGTATTTTTCTCTCATACAAACCAACCAGCAGTACTTCTTCACGAACCAGCAACGATACGAACTAGCCAACCGAACAGGCCGACTGCTGTTGCTATTATATATCTTTGTCGCCATATATATATATATATGCACATGATCATCATCATGGGTCAAGATTACCGTAGTAGAAGTCGCACAAACGAAATTGTTGGGGATCGATCGGCGTCTGTACTATGGTGGCCGCAGCACGCAGTAGGGTAGCTAGTAGTCTTCAGGACCACGACGAGCCATCGGTAGTACTTGAAGTGGTGCCTTCATGTTATCGGCGGCCTCGCTGGGATGCGACACTGCCGACGACCCATGGCCATGGTGGTGGCGAGGAGTAGCAGAGACGACATACGTACGCTGAGTAGCTTGTTGCGCGGCGACCAGATCCCTATGCTTGTTATTCAAAGCTTGCGTTGTTGGAGTGGTGGGCGCCACGGCGATCTTCCCGGCAGCACTCTGACTCTCTCGATCTCGGACAACGCCACCGACAGAAGCACGGACGTCGTCGTCTGAGTAGCCGAAGGCCGTCATGCGCCCTCCACCGTTCTTGTTCACTTCCGCCGCATGCCCTTGCGCCGCACGAGCTCCTTCATTCTTGCCCTCGCCGCCCGCAGCGGCAGGCAAGTTGGTCGTCCCATGGTGGCCATATGCTTGGACGCTAGGGTCATGCTGTGACCCATCATCGCCTTTGTGGCCGCCGCCGCAGGAGAACGGCAGACACATCGACGACGCAGCTAGCTAGCAGGCTGCAGGCACTAGTGAGCAACTGGAGTGAAGGTAGTAGGTAGCAGGTCTAGTGCCTGTGGTTGGGCAGGGCTCCAGTTGCACAGGCACTCTGTAGAGATGTGGTTGGGCAGGAGATCGAATATTTATCGCAGCAGCAGGCCAGCAGCATACAGCAAGCTGAGTTTCGTACGGTTTAAGCTAACAAGAACCTCAGGGACGACAGGTCCAGCGTTAGCATCAGAATTAAAGAATATGCTTGTGCGCAATGATGGAGAATTTATACTATACCACGAGTAGTTTAACAACGCTACCCTCGTCACCGCAACATATTAATTCGAACGATCCTTGTGAAGAGTTCTACGAAACTTAAAGGACGTGAGTACTAATAATGTACTAGGTATGTGCCTATATACGTTACAGATGGATAACAATCATGTATCCAAAAGTAATTTATCAAGCGATGCTATCAAAGTCAGTCAACTCAATCACATTACATTATTGCACTCGTTTTAGTTGTAAGACAATCCAAGGGAAAGTGCAACTTGGATAGATTGCACCGCTCGTCGATCATAAACATGAAGGGGTCCGTGCTTCATGAGAAGAGGACATTAGCGAAAAGACAGTCTTCAGTAATCGACTGAGTGGCTTAGCTTGCTGTATTTATTTCTGATTTTCTGCAAGCATACACACTTACTTATTAGTGGCAGAAATATGATTTTTAGTTTATTTCCCCATAAAGGTTCAGCGTTTCTGAATTTTGAGAAAAAAACATGGAATGCTTATGAGGAAACATTGAGTTGTTCAGAGTTATGTTTTTCCCTGCTAACCACGAGAGCATGCATATTGATCTTGACAAACTGGAACCGTCCTGAAAGCAAGAATGCAAGCCTTCTCCTGCAAATTATCTCTATCTCTATTGGACGTAGGAAGGTAAAGAGAAATCTGAAATTTGCGACCGTAAGGAAGAGGCAAAAAGGAACCTCTTTGAGCAACTAAAATGCCCAACAAATACAAAAAGTAATGCGGATGGTGCACACCTGATAGACTCACTCGGATCAGAAGGGTGTTCTCACCCTCCGTGGCAGGCTGGCAGCCCTGTGATTTTTTTTAAAAAAAAACTTTAAACAAGTTTTTCAGGCTTTATCGTAATGATAGAAGAGAAACCAGACCAACTTAGTGCCTGTTTGGCTGGGCTCCGTGAGCGGCTCCAGCTGAAACCCTACCAAAGGGCTAAACCGAAGAACAGCTCCGCCGGCGAAGCCTAAAAGAGCTAGAGCCTTTTTTCTACTGCGCCAATGGAGCCACGAAAACGAGCTTCTCCTAGCTCCTCCTTTATCAGGGCACGAGAGGACACGGTTGTCCTCCATCGCTGGTTCGAGCACAACACATCAATGCCAGCCCGTTTCCCTGCATGCGCATGCTGTGCCAGCTGTAGGTAAAGAAAGAGGAGGATCGGCTAGCAAGAATAGGAGAAAAGATAGGGTTCCCAATGCAAAAATACAAGAGAAAAAAGAAAACAACAGATGGCTCCAATAATTTAGAAATAGACCAGGTTCCAATGCAAAGGCAACTGTTAGCTTCTCAAATTGATCAAATCGCCTGCTACTTGTAAAATAGGTAATAAATCACAGGAGTATCAAAAAAATTGTAAAACCAATTTTTCTAGGTTGGGTTCAACTAGATCTACACCGTAATAAAATAATAAGTGGGGGTATTATAGACATTTGCCATATTTCATCCATTTTAGAAAAACAGGAGGAGCCGTTTTGTCAAACGCTTTTCAGAAACGGCTTCAGCACCTTCAAAGAAGCCACTTCTTCAGAGGAGTCAAAGCCGGAGCTATTTTTAGAGGAGCCAGAGCCCTGCCAAATAGGCACTTATTACAGCTCAACCCTATGAGACAGACAAATCTTTTAAGACAAGAACAACTCAAGGCCCAACAAGGTGATGCATGGCTAACCTAAGTCGTCCAGGATAACCACGAGCTATCGTTATTCTTGTCCTGATCATAAGGTTGTCCCCTCCACCCGCCCTTGAGCTCCCCAAGGGTGACTCGGGGGCACTCCCCGGCGCGCCAGCCCTCTCCCCCCGAGCCACATCTTCATCCACCATCGCCATCCTCAGTCCGCAGTCACCATGGCAGACCCCAAAAACTAGACCCAGTCCACAGTCGATCCCCTCCTCTGGCCCCCAGGCTGTGCGGTGCGGCGGTGGCTAGTGCCCCTCCTCCCAGCACGACACACTGCGACTCGACACGGTTGAGTCCCCGTGCCCCCTAGGCCCCTCGGACCTGGATCAGCCGGCCACTAGCCGGCGCGGCTAGGTAGAAGTGGCGGCCCACCACCCTGCGTAGTCCTCCACGACCGACGCGGTGTGTCCCCGAGCCCCTCCTGCTCCTCATTTTCCCTCTCTCGTGCATCGACCGACCGGCGTCGAGCTCTACCAGCAGGGACGTGGACCGCCCCCCCCCCCGGGCCGATGGTGGGCTCACTCGATGTCCGATGGGGCAGATTTGGGCCCTTAGGGCGCCCGACTGCATGGCAACGGCCGCCCCCCTGGTCGGAGGGATCCTCAGCTTGGAGCTCCGCGACCTAATGAAGACTCGTACTGGTGCAAGCTCCCCCTAGAGCGACCTCCTCGTTGTGTTGCTCCCCCGAGCAAAGGAGCCCCTACACGGGCATCTGCTCGGCCCGCCAGGCGGTTTGCCACCCCCTCGCCAGATTCGTTGGCCTCATGGCCAGATCTTGTGGTGTTGCTCTGTAGCGCCGTGTGTCTTCTTCATGAGCATGTGCAGTGGCCTGGGCATGCAAATTGTCTGCGAGCATGCTGGCAGCGGGATTACTTGTGGGCGTCCCATTCGCTGGATCCGATGGCCTCATGTCCGGATTTCAAGGAACCGTTGTTATCCTCTCAAACTCGGGGCACAGATGGTCCTATGGCAGCAGTTGTAACACCCTCGGTGTTACACCCTAAATCAATTATTAAAACATGTCATGAGCATCATGTTATGTGTTAATGCATGTGATAAAGTGTGTAGATCAGTTTTTGTAAATCAAAATGATCAATAAAAATGCTAAACGAAAGTTGATTCGATAGTTCATGCATATCTAGTAGGGTTTAAAACTAATTTTTATTGAACAAAAATACTATAGAACATGTGTGTGATACTTAAATAAAGTTGGAAGTGCAAACTTTATAGATGAAAATGAAATACTTGCTGTTGAAAAATAGTATTGCTTAGTAATATTTTCAATAGCTTAGAAATGCAATTTGAAATAGAGTTCAACTCAAAAAACTTAGAAAAATTTCAAGCTTGTGTACAACTAGGCATTTCTAAGTTTAGCAATTTATTTAGAGAGATTTGGTTAGAGGGTGATGCGGTGTTTTAGCTTGGCTGAGCAGCCTCATATATTAGTTTGATCGTGGTGAAGTCGGTTTCGGTTTAGAGGCAATGGTTTAGTGGTAGTCGCTACTTTAAAATCCGTGCATAGCATGTTCTTGGGCTTGCCCTCTGGGCTGGGCACTGTCACCAAGCCACGGGGGTGCATCGTCGTGGCGTTGGTGCACTCTACGTGCGCACGCGAGCTACCGTGCTTGGCTGGCCTAGTCGCCCAGACCCGACTGCGAGGAGCCGCCGTTGTTGTGGCTTGCTCGGCTGAGCAGCGCTGCCCCTACCCCGTGCGCTGCCGCGCCGCCGACCCACCTCGCACCGCGACACAGCCGCTGCTATCGCATCACGTCGCGGTCGTGCTTGCCCGCTGCATCGCTGGCCTGCTTTGATGCCGCGCGCACGAGGCCGGACCGCCGTCGCCATGCCATTTATGGCACTGTGGCACGCGGGCCATGCCGGTCACGAGCATGCACGCCTGTCGGTTAGTGTTTGGCCGCGGGCCATGCTGGTTGCGTCAACCGTGTCCCGCCAAGGCTCTCCTTGTCGAGTCACCGGCCGCACCCCATCTCCCTCTCTCTTTCCTTCTCTCTGCTGCCGCCACCGAGCCGCGCCAACGTGCTTGCCTCCGAGGGGTCATCTCCCATCAATTCAACGTACCCACAGCTCCATCCTCATATCCTCTCATCAACCGCCCCCACCCAAGTCGTAGCCCTATAGCCACCTCCACACTGCTAACACGGCCATGTCATTGCGGTTTGCCATCGAGCTCGCCGGGCGCACGTAGCTAGACTTGCTTGGGGCGTCTCCGGCCAGAAAACGGCCACGGGTAGGATCATGGTGCATCACTGATGCTTACCCGTCACTTCTATTATTTGTTGCATGCTGTGGCTCACCAAAACGCGGTTGCCACCGCTACAGGTCGCTCGCCGCCAGGGAGAGCCCACTCTGCTTCACCTCCGTTCGTGCAACCACCACCCATCGTCGCGCGTCGGCCCATAGGTGACCATCAGTCCCATAGCTAAGTCTGTAAGGGTCCTGGTTGGCCGACGTAATGGGGCCGTACCAGTCCATGCCGCGCCGGTGAGCGCGGGGGTCACGGGGACCTCCTTGATGCGAAGACAGCTTCTCATAGGGTCTTTTGTGCATAAGTGATGACTGAGTAAATAGGACAAATAGTGGCTGCGAGAATAGTAGGTAGCTCGTGGGCCGCCTCCACGCGTGGGCCACGCCCAGTGTGGGCCGCGTTGGGCTAGTTTGGTTCATCTTTTTAGTAAAGAATTAGAAATGGTTTTGTATTTTATTTAAGAACCATTTTTGTAATTAATCTAAAATCATGTAGATGTCCAAAAATTATGCAATAAATTTTGTTAGATTCTTGAAATTATTCCCTATCTGTTGGTGTATTTATTTTGTGCAAATATATGTTGACTTTTGGAGCCATTAAATTAATTAAGCATGCGTAATATTATTAGTTTAAATATTGTGAGAATTATTGTGGCAAAATGGTAATAGCTTTAGTTTTAAAATTTTTACAGTAGCTTCATGGTATTACTATGTGCTCCCTGTAATTTTTGTATCCCTAGAATAGGCTAAGCACTAGGATAGA